TTCTAGCAGCCAGGGATATGGCAGAGAGAAAAAAAGGACAAGTTTTCTGCTCTCATGAAGTTTACATTTCAGTGAGGAGAGTTAGGCCAGCGGTTCTCAACATGTGGGTCGCGACCCCTTTGGGGGTCAAACGACCCTTTCACAGGGGTCGCCTAAGACCATCGGAAAACACATATATAATTACATATTGTTTTTGTGATTAATCACTATGCTTTAATTATGTTCAATTTGTAACAATGAAATTGGGGGTCACCACAACATGAGGAACTGTATTAAAGGGTCGCGGCATTAGGAAGGTTGAGAACCACTGAATTAAACAATAATATTTATTTGAATAAATAAATAAATAAACACAGAAAGGAATACATTCAGAAAATAAGGCTATATAATACAGAAGAGCTGGCTGACCAGTTCACGTTGCATGGTTAGGAAAGGTCTCTTTAAAGAAGTGCCATTTAAGATGAGATGTAATGGAGACAAAGAGCCGGTCTTGTATAAATGAAGGAAAGGGCATTTTAGAAAGCTAGCTCAACCCTGAGAAAGGAGTGAACTTGGCGTGTGGAGGACAGTAAAAGCCCAGTGGGGCTGAAGAATAGTGGGGAAAACACATGGAAAGATGGGAGAGCTGAGTCACATAGGTCTTTACAAGCCGGAACGATGCTTTTAAGGTTTATCCTAAGTGAAATAGGAAGCCCTTGAAATGTGGCCTGATTGATATCTTAAAAACAATCTATAGCAGCCCAGCCCATGTAGTTCAGTGGTAGAGTGTTGACCTATGAACCAAGAGGTCATGGTTCGATTCCCAGTCGGGGCACATGCCCGGGTTGCGGGCTCGACCCCAGGTAGGGGGTGTGCAGGAGGCAGCCCATCAATGATTCTCATATTGATGTTTTTATCTCTCTCTCTTCCTCTCTGAGATAAAAATATATTTAAAAAAACAACAACAATCTATAGCAGAAGCATGAAGACAGACAGAAGGCTAGGGCACAGGTCTGAGTGAGAGAGAACTACTGTCTAGACCAGAGGGTAGTGGTAGAAAGGGAGCTAAGTGAGTTTGATCAAGATACACTTTAGAAGAAAGTATTATAAATGGACTGACTGTGGGGATGAGGAAAAGGAACCAAAGACACCTGGTTGGATGATGGTACCATCTTCCTGAGAAAGGCAAGATCTGGGAAAACATGGTTTGGTTGAAGGATACATGGTTTGGTTGAAGGAAAATATGGTTTGGAGCTTAGGCAGTGGAAATCAACAGTTCTATTTTGGACATGGTAATTTTGAGCTGCAAATTACACATCTGGCATTGATACAGGGAAGGCAGTTGGTATATGAATCTAGACTCGGGAAATTCAAGGCTGGAGATACACATTTGGTAATTGTTGGCATACTGATGGCATTCAAGGCTTGGAGTCTGATGTGTTGGCCCAGGCCAGGGAGCATGAACTAAGAAGAGGACTGGAGACCAGGCTTCAGCTCACCCCAACTGCAATCTACATTTCATGTTACAGAAATAAACTTTAATCGCATGGCCGCCACACTTTCAAGAGTTTATGAAGACAAGAGATGCACGGAGGTAGAAAGAGACTTCAGGACTCTTCTCCGGGCAGGCAGCTTTGTAAAAGGTGATTCAGGAAAAGCAGGTCCTTCCTCTACTAACCTGTGTGGGTCTTGGAGCTCTCTATGCACACCTAAGGTTGAGGGGAGTGAAGACCCTCAGGAATGTTTCTCTGCCAGGGGGTTATAATGAGCATTTGTTCCCCGTTGGTATGAGGAGGAAGCTCTGTCTCACCTACAAAGTCATAAGCTCTTTTTCCCATGGATTTTCAGCAATTTGGTAAAAAAAAATACTTCAAATGGTATTTAATCCTGCCTTCAGGCAGGGAATGTTTCCAATGCCCTTCAGGCCATCACAGGCTAAGAACTTAAGAGTCTCACCTAGAAAGGGGCAGTGGTGAATCAGACACTCGCCAGGCGCTCTTCTCCTTTAGGAAAAGGGTCAAGACATCAGCCTAATGGATGCATGGAACACACTGACAGATCTCAGAGGGGAGGGGAGAGAGAAGAGGACGGGAAGAGATCAAGCAAAGAATATATATGCATATATGCATAGCTCACGGACACAGACAATAATGTGGTGAGGGCCTAGGGGAGGGGGTGGGGGCTGGGTGGAGGGAGGCAAAGGGGGATGTGGGAACAGCTGTAATAGAGTCAACAATAAAAAGAAAAAAACACAGTTTGGCTTAATATATTTGAATTCTAATGCTATCTTGAAATAATAAATATGTACTGAAGAAAAAAAAAAAAGACAGCCTAGAGAAAAAGCTGGGCCCCAGGACCAATGCCAGTTAATGGGAGACTGTGAGCAAAGAGGAAGAGCGTTCCTCATCCTTCTTCTGCCTGTAGCAACTGGGCTTTGTCATCGGGGACCAACAGCATTCTTTCTTTTTTTTTTTTAAATTCAGGAGATAAAATAAAGCACTGCTCGGAATCATCAGTGAGGAAAAGTCAGAAATATTATGTTCATTCAGCATCTTGTTCAATTTGCACAGCTGTTTTTTGAAAATAAAAGTCTGTTTATATAGATATGATTATTTGCGATTGCCTATGAATATATTGTTTGGGGAGCATGCTGCACAGTTAATATTGCAACAAATTACAGAAATTCTCCCAATAGCAGAGCAAAGAAATCTGTATCCCGATGGGAAGAATTTACGGCAGTGTAGGGAAAGCATTTTGGCAACAAATTATTCTGTTGTATTGTCCCCAACAGGCTTTCTTACCTCTTGATGCCTCTCCCTGGGAACTGAGCTGGTTTTAAGTGGCAGAACAAATGATCCTCCAAACACTGAGGTTTACTGTAATCCACATTTTGTGTTACAGAAAAATATTTTTTAGTTGTATGATGGCCCACCATTCAAAAGCATTCATACAAAAGATGCAGGGAGCCATTTTGGAAGATTGGTGTTAGAAAAAGGAGCCAGTTTTGAGATATTGAGATGAGGAGTTGGGAAATTAAAAAAAAAATTTTTGGAACAAGGATTTGATGTAGGGAAAGCATTTTTAAAATCCTTTTGAAAGCAAGAGATGCATTTGCTAGGACCAACTGCTGACTTTGAATAACTGTGATGGGAGACCTAATTTTGCCTTTATTACCGTAATTTGAACATATTTTCCTCAAGGGTTAAAGCCACAGCCCACAACAGTATGTGCTAATCTGGGCACCATTTGATAGAGTGATTTAAGCCTTAGGCAAAGTAGACCTCAAGCATTTAGTTCTTTTAGTTGTATATATGGTCTATAAACAAAGCAACTTAAAATATGAGTGTTTTACAATTTTCTTCCTACTTGGTAAATTTCTGGAAAAAATTCAAAATAAAGACCAAATTTGGAACTGCCAGAACAGAGCTGAGGTTGAGAGGCAGCCTGCCTTGCTCGGAGGATGAGCAGTCAACTGGAAGACTTTGCATAGCCCTGCTCACTAGAGCAGGAATAAGAGTATGTTCTAAATCCCCTGGCTCCCCATCAACTCAATTGGACACCAAAACCACGCCAGAAGTCGGAGCAAACATGCCAGGCCTGTGATTAGGACCCCCAAATTGTCCATCAGTTGGGTAGCACATATGCTATGGCTGACCAGATACATACTGGTCAGATCTTCCTAAGCTATGCAACATAACTCATCACAAAAGCTACTATTTTATTAAATTCCTTCCATGTCCCAGAAGCTTCACCAGATGCACAATTTATAGGCATTTTTTCCAGTCCTTACCGCAGTTCAAAGTATGACTATCCCCCTTTTACAAATAAAGTGAGGCTCAGAGAAGTTAAGTAACTGATACTCAGTCACTGAGATGATGTGTATTTGAGTGGAAAACAACTAGAGCGGTGGTTCTCAACCTTGGCTGCACATTAGAATCATCTGGGAATCTTTTTAAAATCCTGATTTCTGGGCCCCATCCTCCAGAAATTCTGTTTCTTTGTTATGGGGTGGGGCCACAACATTAGTAACAAAGAAACAGAATTTCCGGAGGATCAGGTCCAGAAATCAGGATTTTAAAAAAATTCCCAGGTGATTCTAATGGGCAGCCAAGGTTGAGAACCACTGCGCTACATGGTAGAGAATGCGGGCTGCTCAAAGTTAATACCGTACATCTGTCAAGGTGTCAACTAGCGCTGGGGAAGAGGCCCAGAACTTCAGTTACAATAAGCTCTGATGTGCACCAGAATCACCTGTGAGCTCAAAACACACATTTCTGGACCCTAGGTCTTCTGATTTCATTGGTTAGTGGTGGGTTTCAGACATTCGCATTTTTTTTTTTAAAGAAGCTCCCAGGTAATTTTGATGCCCACAAAAGTTTTAAAATTACTGCTGTTAATGTCATGTTTGGGAGCATGATGTCTTACTCAGAAGTCTGCCCAACCATAATGAGCGACAGTTGTGGGCTGGGAGAAAAATTCAGCTTATAGGAATGCATGAAGGGACATCCATGAAATGTGCACTTTGTGAGGTTACTTTTTCCCTGTCCCCATCAATGTCTGCCTCTTTTATTTACTCCCATTAATACTTGGGTCAAGAGAACATTAAATCAGGTCTTCAGTCAGTATTTATCTTAGTTACCCAATGAATACAGAGTTTCATGGAAATCATCCAAACTTTACTAATTATATAAAAGACAGAAATTTTGTTCTTGAACATGATTCTGTAATTTTGTTTTGTTTTGTCCTTTTGAAAGGGCTAATTGTATTGGGAAGCTCATCTACCAATCTATCCATCAAATCAACTTGCCCTCACCACGCAGGCCATGCAGGCCCTCTGGGAATGCTTTCTTGTTATCATCATGATACTGATCAGCTTCCTAACCTTGAAAAATGCCATGACAATGTCCTGGCAGGGACATTACTTATGCCTTTGGGCTCCTGTCTTTCAGAGGCCTGGTTTGTTATCACAGACCTTGCAATTGTTAGGCAGGATAAGGTCATAAGGCAAATGTATTCCCTACCTGGTACTGAAGTTCCGAGTGCCACGAACACGACCGCAGTCACCGAATCTTTCAGGCCAATGGTGCAGCCGAAGTGGGAAGCCAGGTCGCCAATGAAAGCTGTCAGTACGCCAATCATGATGATGGAGACAATGAAACATGCCCAGCCATTCCAGTATTCTGTAGGGGGCACGAAGGCAAAGAGGACCTTCCAGAACACAGTCAGAAAGTGCATCACATAATCGAAGCAGGAGGGCAGCTTCTCCTCCCCACATTCGTCGTCGTCATCATCTTCCCCTAGAGAGAAAGGAACGAGCACATTTCATCACTCCTTCTGCTATCAGGGTCTCCCCCTCTCCAACCCCTCCTTCCCAGGCCTGTCACCCTCCCCTTGGAATGACCTGGAGGCCCTTAGAGGTGGGTGAAGCTTAGAGTTTTCTAGGAGTCAATCATAACGAAACAATTATTGTATCATACTCAAGGTCATGCTCAATGTCATGGATTAATGGCAAAAAAAACTTAATCCCCTCCACACAGTTCTGGTTACAGGCAATCAACACACCCTTTCTATTCTCCTGTCACCTCCAGTGAGATTTGTCACTTCAGAGAAACGACCAAGATTTCTTCCAAAAGGCTGTAGAGCCCTGTGCCAGACTCAGAAGGAAGCCAGTTCTGAAGAAAGGGAGCTGACAGAATTCTTCTACCAGGATTCTTTTCTTGGAACACATTGCTGTCTTCCAACTTCAGCTCTGGACATTCATGGGTCTATAATCCTCAGAGGACAAACGTTCACCCCGGGCCCTCCACCGTGGCTCTGGGCCTGCATCTCTCTCCAGCTTTATCTCCCGCAGCTACCTCAAACTCAAACTGCATCCTAGCCAAATGGAATTCCTTGCATTCTTTTTCAAACCATATGTACTTTCTCCTTTTGTCCTTCAGAACTAAATGTACTTGGCATGTCCCAATCCCCCCTCCTGATCCTTCCCCACCTGTCCTTTGAAACTCTCTTCCTTTATGAAACCTTCCCTGAACCCCCTGGCCCTCCAGCCAGTGCTGGAAACGCCTCCTCAGCTGCCACTTGTAACACTAGATCAGTGGCTCTCAAAGTGGAGCCTCACCAGCAGCGGCATTACCTGCGCACGTGTTAGAAATGCACATTTCTGGCCCCACTGAATCAGAAACTAGGGGGTGGGGGATGGGAGGCGGCCCAGCAGTCCGTATGAACCAGGCCTTGGGGTGACTGTCATGCAGGAGTCCAATGAGACCCAGTCTCTAGATTATACCTGTTCACTCTGCCTCTCTTCCCCAGGTAATGCTGAGCCCTTCAAGGGCAGGAATGCGTTCATTTTTGTGTTCCGAATGTTTGGCCTCCTTTCCACCATGTGGAATAAGCTGGCTAAACGCTTGTTAAGTGAATGAATACATGCATTAATTTCTCCTGACTTTATATAACTACTTAATTACATAATATATACACATAACATCATTTTGCCAATTAGATTATACTATCAATACGGAAAGAAATGCATACTTTTTAAATGCAGAAAGAAAGGCTTACCGCTTAAAGGAACCAGAAAATCAATGTAACAGTGTTCGAAATTGGAGACTTCGTTTATGGTGTGACATAACCCCCGTTCACATACTTTTAAATCGGGCTATTGAAGGTCAGCTCTTTCTAAAGTGGGGGCAAACACAGATGCGTGTGTTTCGCAGCCATTTTAGAACTTCTCCTTGAGGCCTTTGCTCACCACCCCAAGCCCCCAACCTCGTCTCCAGGGTCTACCACCCCTCATTCACCTGGTGCAGCTGGCGCAGGGGAGGCTGTCCGACCTCCCGGAGGACTGCTGGACCTGAGACTGCCCACACAGAGCACGTGAGTGCTCCCCGGAGGGGGGGGGGACTCTCCGCGGGGAGGCCCCCTCTGGCGCAGGTCATGTTGGAAACACCCTCTCACTCACAAAACGTGGAAAGGGGAACGTCTGGGTTTGTCATCTGTCCTTTTACAGGGAGGGAGGAGAGGCGGAGGCTAGCTCTTCCAGGAGGTCATGGTCAGAACCAGCAGGCAAACAAACTTGAAGGATCTGTCTCAGCCTGAGGCTCTGGGAGGTCTCGCGTAAACTGTTGGGAGGAAGCCGCCAGCAGGTGAATGGCATCACCCTGGGAGACTAACCGGGGAGGGGGCTTAAGTCAGGTCACCTGAGTGACTCACTGGAGGGAACAAGCGTTGTTGACTGTGTTCAAGGAACTCAACAAGGAGCCAGGAGACCCAGATGGCTCTCATACTCGGTTACCTAGGAAAGCAGACTAAACCTGAGCCATGGGGATCCCTGTAAATATACTTCTGAGAAAATGAAACTTAAGAACAACCAATCACAGACAACCACCTCGGCTTTCCCCAAAAAGGCAACTGCTTAAGCTACAGCCAATCAAATTATGTCCTCTATTCTGACGAAGTCTCTCTCCTAGCTCCTGTGGGCGGAGCACTCCTAACCACTTCTGGTTTGATTCTGCCCAATTCGAATCCATGCTCACTCAAGTGAACTTGGAACATTTTAATGTGCTTCAGTGTATCTTCTAACAACCATTTCCTCCGGCACTCATGCTGTACGGTCATTACATATTTCTAAGATCACCCTTGCCTAAAAGCAGGCGATGCTTTTAAATAAAAGTACGTATTATGGGTTGAATTGTTTCCACCAAATTCATTGCCCTAAATCCTAGCACCTCGGAATGTGAATATATTGGAGACAGGGCCTTTGAAGAGATATGTAAGCTAAAACGAGGCTAATCCAAGCTGACTCGTATCTGTATAGGAAGAGGAAGTTGGGACTCACAGCCAGACAGCAGGGATGTGGGCACACACAGGAAAGACCACATGAGGACGCAGCGAGCAGGTGGCCCTTCCCTCTCCCAACTCAAGGAGAGCAGCCTCAGGAGAAACCAAACCTGCCAACACTTTGATCTTGGACTTCTATCCTTCAGAACCGTGAAAAGATGAATTCCTATTGTTTAAGCTCCCTAGTCTTTGGGTCTGTGGTATTTTGTCAGGGCACCCTCTCAGAAGCCTCCTATGCCGTAACACTAATGTGTAGGAACAGCCATTCCGTGTTTCTATAACCCACTCCTTTCTTGTGTCTTTCACCGATTTCTTCTTTTTTTTTCCTTCTTTCACTTTTCTTCCCTTTTTCCTTTTACCCTAAATGTTAGCTCCAGATAGAACTGTGAGAGCTGCAACTGTCAGGGTGAATTGGAGGGAACGAGGAAGAAAAGAACCATGTTAATTCTTTCTCTACCTCCTTCTTCCCCAGTTGCCTATTCCAAAGTGGAGGCGACGGGGGCGGGGGGGCTGCTGCATGTACCCCAGGAAAGCTCTGCAAAAGCACTAGACTTTCAAGTTATATCTATTTTGTACCTGATACTTTTAAATTTCCATATTTGTGGACATTTAATAATTTCATAGGATATATGATCAAAACAGTTTAGAAAACATTGAATTCTAATCAATCATCTATAGAAATACAGATTATTCTGCCCCTAACTCTACAAAATTACTTAATTTTGAGTGTCTAAGTCCATATTGTGAAGATGAACAAGGAAACAAATCATAAAGCTTCTCAGAAGAAATGACACATAAATCGAGAGTAGAGATTATATTTGTCTTCAAGATGAACATAATGACACCTTTCCTATGAGGGGTGTGCTGGAAAAAATTACATCACCTCTGTAAAGTATTTGAGGATATTTCAAGATAATAGTTATTATGGTAGTTACTATTTTCCTATAATTAAGGATTGTGACTGTATTTCCATATCATTAATTAATTGCTCAGTTCATATGCTGGGTTATCAGGGGTTACATTCTAGGCTTTTAAAAACAAAATGCCCTCTGGAATCAACTTCATGATCTATGCGTATGTAATGAAAGAGAGAGAGAGAGAGAGAGAGAGAGAGAGAGAGAGAGAGAGATTTCCTCCTGTGGGCTTCTAGCATTACAGGGAATCTTAAATATTTTAATACTAATGTCTGGAATGGGAGGCGCATCTGTTTTACTGCATTTGAAAGTAGAAGTGGCTTCCCCTTCTTTTTCCCTAGGATCTCATTGCTCTTTACAGATTTTAATCTCCAACTCAGATGTCATTTAAATATTAAAAATGACCACTGCCTGCACGGGTGATGCACGATTACCCTGTCTTGGAGAAGGACAAAGAAACATGTTCATCCATCACCATCTGGACCATACTTAAAAGTGTGTTCCTTGCAAAGATGAGTGGAGCATTAAAAAAAAAAAAAAGCGGAGCTGGGAGCATCTTTTATGTGACAGCAAAGTTGATGGTAATCTGCCTGTTCTGCAGGCCGGCCAGCCCAGGGCACTGGAGGCTGCGTCATTCTTTCCAGCCCCTCCTCTGCATGAGCAGAGACGGCAGGCTGGTGGGTTTCCTTTTATTGGAGCCCAAGCAAAGGATCCTCTTATCCCAGAATCCTTCTTTTCAGCTTTATGGATTCTACTAATGGAAAGATAACAAAAAAAGCTGTATTTGATTCATCGGCTCCATAGCCTTTTACATGGTTTCCTTGATACATGTTGGACCTCCTAAAAATATAACTACAAAAATAGCCGAATCGTTAAAACCACAAGTAGTGGAGAGAGGATCACTTCAGCTATTGATAGAATGCTTGCACTGGCCCTGCTCTGGAGCACGAACACAGACTGTCATCAGCACAAGTGATCATGGAAGGCAACCCCTGGTCTTGGCACCTGCAGGTGACATAACATCTAAAGCAAACCAGAGATTAGTGTACCTCCCCCTGGAGATGCTCAGGGTTTGGCCTCAGGGAGAGCTTTGAGAAATAGAAAAAGACACTGCTGGAGTGTCGTAGACACTTGGGTCAGAAAACTTATTAATTTCTAGTTCTGATAGCTTGTTTTGGGGAAGACTCTTGACCTTCCAGAGCTTCAGGTCCTTATCTGTCAAATGGATTTCCTAGCTCCCACATCACAGAGCTTTCTGTCATGAGGGCTAGAAGAGGAAACGTCCAAGTCCTTTGTAAAGCTGCAAACCTCTTTGCAGACAGATGTGCCATATTCCCTCACTGTTATTGTCAGAAGGAAGGCAGTGATCAGTCGGACCTGAGTTTCCTGATTTCACAGACCTATATTCTGCTTGAATGAAACATTATTGCGACAGCTTCCCCAAGCTGCTTGATTTTAAGAAAAGAAAAGAAGGAAGAAACTGAAGGAGAGAACATGATGGGGTGTCTAACTAAGTGACAGGCACTTAGCTAAACGTTCCCCCACGC